CATGTGGCTTTTGCAGCAAAACACTTTTTCACACTGCAGAACAGCTGAGAGAGCCAGAAAAATGCTGCATGAAAAATATATCGCGAATGTGCCCCTTTGTAATCATGTCCTGAGATTATGACTGTAACAACTACAGTAGCATGCACATTTAAAGGTACAGTTCACAAAAAAAAAAAAAAAAAAAAAAAACTGAAGCAATGAAGTCATAATGGTGTCATATTTGATTTTTGTATGACTTCGAAAGACCAACTAGTTTTTTTTTGTTTTTACTTGCCTAGTAGTAACAGGTTTATCTGAAATAGTTGAGAAAAACTGTCAAATACTTCAAAAACCTCAAGAAAAAATGTAATAAAATAAAAAATAATTAAATAAAACTGTCAAAAACCGAAGTTAAAAAACCTAAAATATACCATCAATACCTCATATAGCACAAAATAAATGAATAAATAAATGAATTAAGTTAAAAAAATAATAAATGCTCAAATACCTCAAAAATTCAAATACAGTGTCAGATTTACTTTTATTAAACATTTATGATCATTTTGTGAACTTGTGGCCTTATACCTTGACCACTGATTTTCATATAATGAAAGTAAATGGAGACTGGGACTGACAAGCTACAAAAGCCTCATATAGCACAAATTAAATGAATAAATAAATGAATTAAGTTAAAAAAAATAATAAATGCTCAAATACCTAAAAAATTCAAATACAGTGTCAGATTTACTTTTATTAAACATTTATGATCATTTTGTGAACTTGTGGCCTTATACCTTGACCACTGATTTTCATATAATGAAAGTAAATGGAGACTGGGACTGACAAGCTACAAAAGGGCACAAAAAGCACCATAAAAGTGTTTCACACAGCTTGTGCACTATATTCTAGGTATTATGAAGCTAAACAGTAATAGTAAGTAGTACTACTAATGTACTCATTATTAGACACATTAAAACATGGCTGATTGCATTTTTGCAGCCGCAGTCCCCATTCACTTTCATCATATGAAAAAAAGTAGCCAGGACATTCTTAAAAAAAATTCACCTTTTGCAAAGACATACAGTCTCAAAGATTTGGAATGGCATGTGGGTGAGTAAATAACATAATTTTTTTTTTGTGTGTGTGTGTGAAGTATCCCATTTTATAAAGATATAACCCTCTTGTTCACAGGAATTCAGGAGAATGAATGAATATGCATTGCAAAAATGGCTAATGTGTTTTACAATTACCCTAAAAAAGCGTGGAAAGCCTCGGAGGGGTTCCTGAAGCGCAGCAAAATGGTAGTGATATCAATTTACATTCTGTAATAATTTCTGCTCCTGTGCTTTTAGTATTGGCTTTCAGGGTGAAATGGAAAAAAAAGTGAATGGAGTGATTGAATGGAGATGAGAGGTGGAGAGCTGATATCGGCAAAAAGGAGAGGAAGGAGACCGTTCATGAGATGAAGAGATGGATAGAAGGAACTATTGGAAGAGAGAGAGTCTCGCTTGACCAGAGTTATATGATGCATTTCACGGTGCTGCATTTCTTCCTTGCCCTCTGTCTCTCTCTCTCTCTCTCTCTCTCTGCTGTGCGTTTTTCTGCAACCTCTGCACTAACAACTGATTCATGCTCTCCATGAGAGGGAGACTGGTATTCGCCAATGCAAATGACAACAGGAGTGGGCGCTCTGCCAAACGCCATGACTTCAAACACTCCAATTTTATTGCATGCACATGCAAAAATCTAAATCAAAACATCAGTGTCACGAATGCTTCATATGCAGCTTATTCGGCACAATATTATGTATTTTATTTTTACCATCTAATCAATTATGGACTGACAAGATCAAGTCCTGCCCTGCATTTTCTGCTCATCCTGTTTAACTTAGAGAAATAATAAGAATAAAAAAAAGTTAATTTGCAAAGTAATAATTCAATTGTTCTGCCTAGAGGGTGATAGACAGTAAATGGAGACTTTTTCTACAATTTTTTTTTCCACAGAAAAATCTCATATGTCTCCTTTAGAGTTTCAAAGGGATCTCAAAATCTCAACCTCTTTCATATTCTATCACAAAAGTATTTGAAACTTAAATATAGTGTTTCATATCTCCATTACAAAAGTTTTGCGAGTGAATGCAGTTTCTCAGGGGAACGCAAACATTTTGCATGCAGAAGCAAAGTTTCACGGGGGTACGCAAAAGTTTTGCAAAGGTTCTCATGGAAAGTTAAAGTTTCTCCAGTGAACTCAATGATTCTCAAAGGAAGGCAAATGTTTCTCAGGTGAACGCTAAGTTTTGCAAATGAACACAGTTTCTTGAGTGACCTCAAGGTTTCTTAGGGGAAGTTTTGCGAGCGAACGCAAATTTATTTATGGGAACTCAAGCATTTTGCAAGACAACACAAGAGTACTAAAATATAATTTTTCTTCCTTTTTCATTTTTTCATTACTGTGTCCCTTTATGGACTCCATAGATTCGGCAACGCTGCAGAAAAAAAAAATGCTTAAACCAGCCTAAGATGGTTTGCTGGTCTTAAGTGGTTTTAGCTGGTCTTCCAACCTGGTATTTATCTGGGCATCCAACTTGTCTCCTAGCCTGACTAGCTGAAAATTGCTGACACAAGATGCGAGCTAAGACCAGCTAAAACCAGCTAAGACCAGCAAACCATCTTAGGCTGGTTTAAGATGCTTCTTCAATGCTAAATCTGCAATCAAAATTAAGCTATTTTAAATCCTCAACCATTTCTTATTGAATATTTCCAAGACTAAATTATCTGAGCTATTCCATCCACATATTCCATCCACTTTATGCTTTTATTTTATGGCAACCATCATTATTATTATTGTAACTTATCATTATAATAGTATTATTATTGAGAGTCAAGCATAACTCACCTTGCACCATGTGATCAACTTGAATAATTACTCAAATGATGTGCTTTTAAAACCAATTAGGTGTAACACCTGGGCCACTAAACAATCACTCATGAACCAAATTTTAGAAACCACCAAGCAAAGCTCTAGCAACTACCTAGGACACCTTAGCAAACACGTAGCAACAGCCTAGCAACCAAACTCAACACCTTAGCATTCTGGCACTAGACTAAAGTGACTAAAGCAGATGTTTATGCATACACTTTTAGGAATCATCTCAATCATTTGATAGTCAACAAGATAATACACTATGTATGCATAAAATTTGTTAAGTTAGTCATAAATTATTAATTATGCTCTAGTCTAAATTCACCTCACAGAAATAGCATACAAGCACTGTGGAATAATTTTAAAATAACATGAAGACATCAGTGAATGCATAATGTACAATCTGATTGCGGCATTGCATGGTAACATTATGTAACTCTGACGAATCTGAGAGGCTAAGATGATATTCATCATTAACTTATGTGTGTTTTAAGTACAAACAAACAGAATCCACAGGAAGTATTTTTATAATGAACTGGAAAAAACATCTGACAACTGAGATTTTCCCTTGAGAAAAACCCTGTTCAACCAGAAAGACATCATTTCATTCATAATTGCAAAGTGCGAGAGACTCAAACAAGTGGAATTTACTCATGGAAGTCCCATTCAAAGCTCATTAGAATGATAATCATGTTAGAGTGCATTTCTTCAGAGGAGGCGAAGCAATTTGTGAGACATCCTGATGTACTTCAAATCCCAGGTGTTTTATATGCAAACGGAAACCCACTCCGGGGTATCCCAGTGCAGGAATCAGATTCAGTAAGATGTTGCATTAAGTATGAGCCCATGAAGTATCTACGAGGCATTCAGACAGTCTGCGCAGGGTGAACATGACAGACTCATGTAACATTCATGATGAAAAATGTCATTTTAAAAATAATTTTAGATTGGACAACAGTTAGGATAAATACACAGCATGCAAGGAATAGTTCAGCTATCATGAAACTCCAAGTCCTCTGAAACCATATGATAGCTTTGTGTGAGGAATAAACCTAAACGTAAGCCATTATTTGCTGAAAGCATTCTGACAACGTTCCCTTTCATTGCACTCATGTAACATTCATGATGAAAAATGTCATTTTAAAAAGAATTTTAGATTGGACAACAGTTAGGATAAATACACAGCATGCAAGGAATAGTTCAATAGTTGGGGACTGGGGCTGTTGAGCTCCAAAAATGTATAAAAAAAAACTACCAAGTACATACAATTTGAGCATGAAACTCCAAGTCCTCTGAAACCATATGATAGCTTTGTGTGAGGAATAAACCTAAACGTAAGCCATTATTTGCTGAAAGCATTCTGACAACGTTCCCTTTCATTGCGCCCGATGACAAAGATTTTCTGTGAATAGCTACTTAAATTTCTACTTTTTTATGCACACAATGCTATCAGATGGTTTCAGAAGACATGCAATATAATACAGGTGTTGTACGGATTACTTTCATGGTGTCATTTTTGGATCTCAAAATCGCCGGGTCCCCACCACTTTCATTGTATGGAAAAGAGCAGTTTGAAAACTCTGCAAAAAAAATCTATTTTAGCGTTCAATGGAAGAAAATTTAGAAAAGAATTCAAAGCTCAAATGATGACTTTAGAATGACACGAAGATAAGAAAATGACGACAGTTTTCATTTTTAAGTGAACTGTCCCTTTAAATGATGTCCTCTTACATCCATTGACTCCTGATTTACTTTTACAAACACTTATGAATTGACTCCAGCTGTGTGCTTTTTAATAATGTATACAATAATTGTGAATAAGTGGACTTATACAATTGTGCATGTCATGTTCACTCTTGCAGAAATTCCCTAGAGCAGCCATGCAGACATACTGGTACATGTGCATTTTCATAAACAAACAGTCACACGTACACACACAATGATGGAATCGCTTTTCAAATACATGTATACTCACACACTGAGGGCTGACACACATTATCTATGGGTGCAATCTCATTTGAATACACACTGGCACACACACAAACACGCCACACACACTCCCCACCCCCACCCCAGCATTACTGCAGTGGATGCAGTCTTTAACTCACGTTGGAGTCCAGCAGGTCGATGCTGTCCAGGCTCTTGCTGCGGTGGATTCGGCCCTTGCATTTTCATAAACAAACAGTCACACGTACACACACACAGTGATGGAATCGCTTTTCAAATACATGTATACTCACACACTGAGGGCTGACACACATCATCTATGGGTGCAATCTCATTTGAATACACACTGGCACACACACAAACACGCCACACACACTCCCCACCCCCACCCCAGCATTACTGCAGTGGATGCAGTCTTTAACTCACGTTGGAGTCCAGCAGGTCGATGCTGTCCAGGCTCTTGCTGCGGTGGATTCGGCCCTTGATTCTGCGCAGGGATGGTTTGCCGTGCACCGATCCCTCAGATTCTTCCAGCAGAGCGATGTTTTCTGGGGTGTGGATGAAACCGTGGATCTTGGGATAGTAACTAAGAAAATGACAGACAGTGTGTGTTAAAATGTGGCGTAAATTTAATCTCCATTAAAAAGATGAGCACAACCCATGGAGTTTCGTTAGTGAAATGGAGTGAAAGGGGTTTAAAATGCTTACACTGCAGGCCCGTATTTGTCTTTGTCGTGTTTGGGGAAGACCCTGAGATTGAAGCACAAGAGAAAGAGAGAAATACTTTAAATTTCATGACATAAAAACAATGAAAAGATAGATATTTATAAGGTATAGTTCACACAAAATTGAAAATTCTGTCATTAAGCTTTTGGAACACAAAAAGCTAATTTCAGCTCATTGTCATTGACTTTCATTATAGGCACATTTTTAAAATATTTGATTTAGTTTAGATATGACAGCCTCTGTTACTCTTTGCTGGATAATTAAAATTAAATTAAATACAGTAACAGAATATTAAAGCAAAAATAAGTAAATAGTTACAGGGGCTTTTATTTTGCCTACTGGGATATGAAGGAAAATGCTTTTTTAAACAAAAAGGAGGGAAATCTGGCTGCTATAGTGCATTTAATATAAAAAATTAACATTTATTTCATATATAAAATTAGCAAATTAACACAACTGGAGATCCAGTTTTACTCAACAAATCAGTTTCGTTTAAAGTCAACATGAAATGACGTTGGCAACTCTTTTCACTTGTGTAATGTGACATATTTCAAAGCAAAACAGGATATTCATTGAGAAAAATTATATTATGGCACATATCCACAGTCATCCATCCATAATAGACACAAATCACCCACATTAAATCACACAAAAAAGTAAAGGCCAAGCTCAGATAATATTCCATAATCATGTTCCAGTAACCAACAATACACCACAGCATGTAAAACTAATCCAACTAACCTTACATTATTTTTAAAATAATGTAAACTGAATGCAGATAATATGGGTATCTAGTTCATAAAACGGGCAGAAATGCCTTTAATATACAAAAAAAAGTGTTAGGTGTTTCTATATACAGTAAAATAAATTGTGATAAATAAAGGTGCATTGTGCACCTTCAAATGCCTCTTTGCGATATAAAGGCGAAACCTGACCTTGCAGAGGTTGGGGAGAGGTTATATAATACCCCTGGAGCACATGGTTTACAGTAGCTGTGGCAGGATGTAAGACAGTCCTTGTACAGTAGAAGAGGCAATGTGAATGCCTTGTACCATAACCGCTTACCACATGTTTGTGAAGAGGATTTGTTGGAAACCCCTGCAAAACGAAATTCAATATGGCAAATCTTCTGTTTCGTGCTGACTGGGGCACCAGTGAATAGGAGACCTCATTTCCATATTAAGTGGTAGATTAAGGAAGCCTCCTGGGCTGTTGCTAGCTTCTGGTTTCGAAGAATAGGCTACCATAAACTGAAAAAGGAATTGAAGAAGCGTCTAAAACGCCTCCACTGGATTGTAATTTAGAGCGTTAAACGAGATCGGCAGAGAATGGAAGACTAAAGAGAGGACAAAGACAATGAGGTTGATGTTAGCCTGAGGAAACCAAGTGAGGTCTCACCTTCAGTTAATCTCTAATACATTTAAATCATCTGGGAATGAGTTCAAGGACAACATTTCTGCTGTGTGTGCACATATATGGAGAGTTTAAAAAATGTACACATATGTGTACCAAAAGACCAGTAATATACTATAAGTACGCAAAGCTATCTGTTAGCATTCCAATTAATCTAATATATGTGATTTAGATGTGATTTGGATTTGGATGTGATTTGGAAATATGTACACCTTGGCTTTTTGAGTCACAAGCAAATTACATTTTGACAGTGTTAATTGGCTTATAGCACCAGAAAAACTTTCACAGACCAACACTAGCGACTATCCTGAGTTGTGACGTATGAAGTATGTGATGTATATTGGTTTTTACGTATGCATACAGTGCAAATAATGTCAATTTTGTCAGCATAGTATGCGTATTTCTTTTTCTCAGACAGAAAAACTACTAAACACCAAACTACTAAAGATGCAACAACAAACGCCCAATTTGACAAGCACTTGTGAGAAACAAGAAACACACAACTGTAGTTTAAATTGTACAAAGACAATTTTATCGCTTGTAACTTCTAAAGAGAAATTCCAGTGCACATGTGTCAAGCGCCAGTGTTCGCGCATGCTATCAAATAGAGCATACTTTACAATGCTGTTCGGTTGTACATGTACACTAAGCGTTCATGTCAAAAATGATGTATACATTTGCCTTTACTGGCTCATGCTAACCAGCTAAACCTTGACTCCAATACTCAAGGGGGCGACAGAGTTACCTTCAAATTGTCACATTAAATTTTATTGTTCAGGTAGCTAGCTATAGCTAACTTATGCAGCAAGCTTTTTTCACACTCTTTCTCCACAATGAAAGAGAAAACTGGGTGTAGAAGAAAACAATTCATGCTAACGTCCAACTTGCAGCAATGCTAAGAATGCAACACATTCAAGTTTCAGGCCAAAGTGTATTTTTGAAATGACAATCACAAGTGAGAATAGTTCGCGTTCAGCATTGAAGATGCTGACATTGGCTGCGTCCGAAAGGTAAAAAAAAAATGCTGCCTCCGCAGGCAGCATACGGAGGTAGGAAAGGCAGCAAGGCATATCTGAATCGAAAGATCATGTCAAATCCTGTATACTGAGATCTAATCAGTTTTTGAAGGCACCCTTTGCTGCCTGTGATATCCAAGTATCCTGTGCATTTGAGTCAGCTAAGCTAAATTAATGATAAAATAGCATATGAAAGCTGCAGGTGGTGTAAATTTATGTTTTTGAATGACTTAACCTTTTGATTTCCTTTCTTGTGAGAAATTAGTGTTGTAGTAATTATACATTTCCGTAATTAACACCAAAGCTCTCTCTATTTTGTTGTAGATCATTAAACTGTTATTCTGCCTCAGAAGTCTGTCCGAAATCAGTTTCGGGAGGTACCTTCATGTGCAAATGCTGCCTGCGAAGTAACTGCCTGTTAGGGCAGCGAGGAACAAGTCAGCTGCCTAAGCTTTCAGACACAGCCATATACTACTGAGTGTCCAGCTAATTTTGCTGTCCAAACAAGATGCTTTGCACTGTTAAAGCCACAACGAAAAGTCTACAAAAAGTCTACAATCAACTTGGGTAGTCTGTGAGTTCCTGACTCCTTCCTATGTGCCTCAAAAAGGAAAGAAAGCATAGGATACTGCTTGATCAGCAAGTCAATATCCACAGTTTAGACACAATGCTCACCACTACGCTACCATCCATGACTGCCATCAACATTATCTTTGCTGCCATTATCATAAACGTTAATATGATTTTCTCTTCGGCTAGCACAGAATGGCCTAAGGGCACCACAGTGCAAGCCAGGAACAAATGCAGTCGTGTGTGTCGACTGCAGGCTGAACACGAAATTTCTACTAGAGAGGGATTTCTATTTTGCTTTACGACCGTCAACTGCTAATGAAGTAAATAATCACTCTGGATGGGGATGAAAGTGGAAGGCGAAGACGTTTATTTAGCTTGATGGAGGGGAGGTACTTACAGAGAGTCTCAATCAGTGCTCTACTTGTCTTTTGGAAAGGAGGGGCAAAAACTGTGCGGGGAAACCCAGATTCGCATGAAACGTGACCTAGACGCTTCTTCTGAGCTCTGTGGCTTCCATCAGTCAAACGCACGCCCGGCTCACGTTTAAAAGAGTGTGTAAATGCTAAAAAACACGTGTCAAGAGGCCTCGGGGTGGGCAACTGCCACCTATTTTATTACGCCAGGTTAAAGCTAAGCTCTGGAATAGTTTGTACGACTGTGGGGGAAGAAGACCATCTGCTGTGCTTCCAGGACTGGGAACAGACACCGTTCTCAGAACTTCTCTTTTTCCACTCATCACAGCCGATACTGAGGGTTTAGAAAAGTCCTTTTTGTTAAATCACTGGTAATAAAACATTAAAGGTGGCCAAAAATGAAGAGCCCTGATGGACTGTTTGTCTTCATGATTGCAGAGGCATCTGACATTTCCTTTGATCAAAGACAAATGAGATGTAGTTTATTAGTCACGTCCCACAGAGTCAGCTGATCCAGTTACTTGATATGCTTCATATTTGAGTCAATCGTTTGATATAACATACAGCAAAAACAGAAGCATGTTGCCTGTCCATTATCATCCACAAGGGCCCTTTTAAGCAATCTTCACTTGCTTCATGACAACTCATCTCTACTATGTTTCTCCTTTTACCTCTTTTCCTGGATTGATCCTGAAGTCTTCTGGGTGAAAGTGGACAGATATTTAAACACAGGCCAGGTGGCTCACCTAGGAACAAATTGAGTGTAGCAACTCTCAAAGACGAGAAATTCTTAAGCATCCTCTGGTCAGATTTCAGAGAAGAGTCTCTAGTATTGTTGATTGTGAATACTCCTTCATAATATAAAGGTATGCAAAATATAATATTCATGATCTTTCTAGCAATTAATGACTGTCAAAACATATCTGGGTAACATTTCACCCCAAAAATCAAAGGAACAATGAACACGAAGCCTTTTTTTCAGTACCATTTCGATGTATTGCATTACGACATTATTTTTAAGTAAATTAAGCACATTTCCCTCCTTAGTTCGCATTATCTTAAGGGGAGAAAGTCTAATTTTTATTACTATAATGTGCACTGTCAAACCATCAAGAACATGTCTGGGTTACATTTAACACCAAAATCAAAAGAAAAAAAACAAGGATTTGAAGACATTCATAGTTATCTCACATGAAAATTGAAATAAGGCCTATTTTCTATTTTTTTGCTGTAATTGCACGTATTTGCAAGCAAAATTCTAATCATTCTAATTACCATAACTAAAAGCCCTTTAAAATATACGTGTTATTTAAATTAATTACATGACAAATTCTATATAATAAAAAAGTCACTGACATACAATGATTAAAGGAATAGTTCACCCAAAATGAAAATTCAATTACCATCAGGCCATACAAAATGTGGATGATTTTGTTTCTTCATTGAAACAGATTTTGAGAAATGTAGCATTACATTACTTGCTCACCAGTGGATCCTCTGCAGTGAATGGGTGCCGTCAGAATTAGAGTCCAAACAGCTGATAAAAACATCACAATAATCCACACCACTCCAGTCCTTCAGTTACCATCTTGTGAAGTGAAAAGCTGCA